GGGCCATGGGCAACAAAACGCGGCTCTGCGGGCCTGGCTGTACCCGGGAGTCTGGGGCTTTGATGTTCAATCCAAATACATTCTTCTCTAGGGGCAATTTTCTTTTTTCCTACTCGTAAGTTTCCTCTTAGGAGATGATGCTGAGGACGGAGAAGAGCATGATGGACTTGCCCTGGTTGGACTGCTCGACGCTGTTGGCTACGGCTTCCCATGCCGAGACTATCCCGGCGTAGCGGTTCTTGGTGTCGAGGAGCTCTTGTAGCCGCTTGTGGCAGTACTCGGCCGCCGTGTGGAGGTTGTCGATCTGCTTGTACTGGTCGGACAGAAACAGTTCAGACTCGTCAGCACATTCGAGCGTCCAGTTTGCGGCGGACTTCTTGTCATCGAACGGGTACTCGCCCTCGTCTAGGGCCTCCCGCATGCGTCTGACGTCCCGCAAAGCTGGTGTGTGTGGGAGCGTGATGTTAACGCCTAGCCCGTATTTGTGTACCAGCCTGCGGGCGACGTGGATGTGGTACTGTTCGAGAACCTCGCGTTGGATAGACTTGATCTGACGGATGATGCCGAGATCGCTGAGGATGTTGTCGGCTTGTTTCATGAGGCCGGCCTCGGGGTTGATGTTCATGAGGGCCTTGTGCGCCTCCGCAATCTGGGCCTTGTCTGGGGAGCCGTACGCCGTCCAGATGTCTTGGGCGCGAACGGCTAGTTCTTGTCGGGCGGCAAGCTCTCGTGTTGTCTTTACTCATGTCAGCAGTTGTCATTACAAGCCATTGTTTGTACTTACCACAAAGTTGATGGAGTCAGTGAAAATGTAGTTCATGAGCGGTTGCCGATCTTCAAAGGAAGTATTTTCGTAGAAAGTCCGACAGCACACATCGAAGACGCTAAGGACAAGATCGTAGGGATTACCAATCTCTCGTTTTCCTTTCCTCAACTGATCCCGGACACGTGTGTGTATCCCAGAAGGATCATTGGCAAAGTACGAACCCCAACGTTGGGGAAAGCTAGTGATGATGGTGTCTGAAAAGTTAGCCCCTGAATACCTATTCATCACGGGTGCGAGGGTTCAGGGTAACCGCGTACTCTCGTCCAATACAAACACCCACAGCTGGTCTACCATTAAAAGTCGCGACACCGTGGACCGCTCCGCAGTACAGTCTGGGCACTGACACCACTTACTGCACCCCTGGCGCGTCGTATCCCGGATTTTGGCCGTTGCCCGGTAGACAATCTGGTTTTGGTCAAGCTTCCTGGTGTCGCGCAAGAAGTTGGCGTACTCGTTGAACGACTGGTGAAGGGTCCGTCGCGGATGCAGAGGCGGGTTCGCGTACAGGTAGTCGCCGATGAGCTGGTCGTCCTCGTAGGATGTCATGAGCTTGGCGATGCGGGCCGCGCCGAACAAGATGCGTCCGATGACGCCGCGACGGGTGCTCGCGCGCATTGCCATGGGCCGAAAGTGATTCATGGAGGCGGCAATGGTCTCCTGAGCCACGGCAGAAAGAGACGTCTCGTTGATGTGGTGGCCTCGAAGCTCATTGTGAAAGTTGTCCTCGACCCTATCATGTACTTTCAAGGCTGAGGCATTCTCCAAGGTGGCGGTTCGGGTGGCCTGCTCAATCGCCCTGGATTGACCTTCCCAGCCTTGAGCTGTTTCCCAGTGGAGGTATGGTGACTAACAAGGAGAGTTGGCGGTTACGCAGTATGGAAAGGGTGCGGTAAGACTTACGAATAGACACATGGCATTTGTGTTTCCGGTCCCTCCTTTGATGACTTCGCATCCTGGGTCCATTTGTCTGGTGTGAGGGGCGCTGTGCCGGCCAAGCCCATCACGCGAGTGGCCACGCCAACCGACGCGACGAAGGATCTCATGGGTCTTGGGGTTGTTTTTGGCTTTCTCGAAGAGATCCCCCCTATCTGGTCTCACCTCGTTGTAATGGCGAGCGATGGCCTCCTGGTATTTGTATCGTAGATCAGCATCGACCGCCAGAAAGAGAGAAAGTAAAATGAAGGAAAAGCACGGGAGCATACCTCAACCCACGATGCATTGTTCGCAGGGATGTGGAACCATCGAAGCATCCCTTCCTCGCACTGCTCCGTGAGAACGCTCCTATCGCCATCCCTGGCGAGAAGATCGGCCAAGGGGGTGGTTTGATCGGGAAAGCTTCCCTGTAACTTGGGGTGAGAGTGAGGTCTTCCATCCTTAAAATAAACTGCTCCAGCCTGCAGCCCCTTGTACGTGTGCTCTTTACCGCCCTTCTCGGAATGATGAGACCTTGCTAACACTGCCGCGATGTTGGGTGCCGACTCCGCCGAGAGCGTCTTGTCGCCGACTTGGATAGCAGGGATGTTGATCTGGCTGCTCCGGCTGCCAATATGGAGACGGGACAGGGTTTGGGCCAGGGTCCCCTCGGCTCTCCGCGGCTGGGGCTTGGACCGGAGGTCAGCCAGGTGATCGGCCAGGCGGGCAGTCCAGAACTCGCCTTCAGGGCGGGAATCGATGTGGGATCGAACGCTTTGGACCCTCGAAAGCCAGTGTGTAACTTGACCGCGCACGTCTTGATTTGCGTTTTGGAGATGGCTCTCTCGCTCCTCAAACCTGAGGCAACGGGTGAAGTGCAACACATCATCGTGCGGAACCGGGAGGCATTCCGATGGCCTGGGCATTTGCCGGCCCGACGGCTGCTGATCCAAGCCCATGGAAGAGATATAGTCGCAGAGTCCCGGGTGATCCTGTAACGTTTCCCTGCCACTAGTTGCTCGAACTTGCTGACCTTGAAGCTCAGAGTTTCTCGATGATTTGGTAATGTGTGAACTGGCCAAAAAGCGTTTACCATCCTAACGCCTCCATAAACGCGGGTCTGGTGATTGACGGTACCAGACCCATCCCATCTTATGGGTCGGACATATTCACCACACGGAGTGCTCCAACCAACCAACCACGTGTCTCGGCGCTTGTGCCGTGAATGAGGAAGTTGGAACAATGGAAACATGCACCGTCCTTGGGGGCCATATACTCCCTCGTGGCGGTTCGGGACCGGGCTCAGCGGGGTGCCACTGCATCGCCTCAGCTTTTGTGGCCGACAGACGGCCTCCTTCGCCTTAATTTATGTTCCAGAGTTATGGAAGCCCAAAGCTTGGATAAAATCCGGCTGTATCTGGCTTTCCATTGGCGTGGAAACGATGCTGCGCCGGACCATGCCGCTCAACCGCATGCTTGGCGGGTTCCCGGGAATGCTCGGCGTTGTTGCAGGTATTTTGGGATAAACGTGGCGTCAGATCCTCGCTGCGTAACCATCCAGCGGGTTTTACGGATACGCACACCTTATCCGTAATGGAAGGCGGTGAGTCCAGGTAATAGGTACAATGCACTTGGCACGATCCTAATGGCGTGTCGTAAGATCCTTCTTCAAAACCTTAAATCCACGCTCCACATATCAATATAATATCATCTCTACGAAGTACGCTCATTCAGTTTCACTCCTGTTGTGCTCTACTTTCGGAGATGGGAACGCTTCTGACCATAAGTCCGGGAGGGGGAGAGGAAAGAACGTTGCAAGACCGGTCCATTGCTGACGAATTCACCATCAAATTTGGCCCCCAACAGCTTGCGGTTGTCCCCGGGCCCTTGCAGCCGGGCTCGAACCAACAGCAACATCCGCCACCAATCAATGCCACCCTAAGTGTTTAATCCATCGTCACCATCATGCAAGTTAGGGAGGGAGGTTGCTGAGATTCGTCGATATGGGATCTAGCGAGGCTGGCGGGGGTATGTGTGGCCCCGCGGCCTCCGCGCTACCCCTTGCCTGGTGCCGGCTAGGGTAGGTAAGGTAGTCTAGTTTATCAGTATTTGAGGACCTGAGGCCCCAGAGCCGGTTCGGCAGCCCCAATGCCACCTCCCATGTTCCAAGTTGCGGGCCGACTGCTGCGGTTCTCAGCTCGAACATTTCTAAGTTCTTTACCCTTCGTGAGGCTCGGTAACACAAACGCTTGCCGACTGCTATCCATAACCAACGGCCCGAGAGCTCGCAATTGCATGGTGCACCCAATGGAACGACGAGGGATAAGTCACTCGGCTCCTTACGGCCATGCGTGCATGAGCTGCTTCAAAGCCAAGTGCCGATGCGTCCCGCGCCAAAACGGAGACGGATGCGAGAGGTACGTGGTGTAGGCCAACTGGGGTTATCATGGACGCCAGAAGAAGCTCACAGATTGGGACTTAGATGCCTCCGTCTTAAGAAACCATGTACTCCTTCCAACTCAACCCGACGCCGCGTTCATCCCGATCAAAAGCCAAACTCGGACGGCCGCCTCACCCCTTTTGAGGATTTGGTGTCGCTGTTCCACTCGCGCCACAACTACAAGGCCAATGCGGCAGCCCAACAGCAGCAGTGGGCTCAATCTGGGTTCCCTTCCGTAGAGGGGATCTGCAGGCTAGAAGCTCTCTTGGACCCCTTTCTTGAAATACCTAGCAACACCACAAGCGCCAATACCCCTGAACCTCTGGACGCCTCGACAGCGGCCTGCCTAGAAACCTTCCGTTTCCATATGCTACCCAATTTTCCCTTCATCCACTTCCCTGCTGAGACGACGATTCAACAGTTGCAATACCAACGACCATTCCTATTCCGGGCCATCACCTGTGTGGCGTCATCCACCGCGTGTGAAAAGCGAGTACGTGTCGCCGAGTTGAAGCACCTCTTATCTGAGACGGTCTTTGGTGAAAAAGCAGAGAACATCAGTCAACGAAATGCGATGGGGCATACAATGGACCTGTTGCTCGGCCTGTTAGTCTACGTAGCCTGGGGCTGGGACCATCAGTTCAGTGGGCGCCTGATGACGGTTGCCATGTCACTGGTGGATGAGGTACTCCCAAACAAGCCTACGGCTTCAGACATACACACACTCGGACTGTTAAGGTCGGAAATGGGACCCGCGCGCGGATGCATGCAGGGCGAACCTTTATTGGAACGAGAACGCGCCGTCTTGGCTTGTTTTGTGCTTAGCTCCGCTATCTCGACCTACTCCGGACAGGTCGACGGCTTGCGCTGGACACCACAGATGAAACAATGTCTAGTCGCCATTAGTTCGAATAGGAACGAGCGAAACGACGCGGTCTTGGCTTTGCAGGTCCGGCTTCAGGCGCTGACATCACAGGCCTTGCAGCTACGCAGTCGGAACCACCACACAAAGTACCAGGCGGCTGCCGAGGCACTGCTATCACAGCTGCAGGATCTCTACCCAACCGTCTTACAACATCAGGGTAAACCTCCACAAAGAAGCCTAGCCGTATCAGTCACTACTAACCACCCCCTCCACAAAATAGGTTCCCTCCCGGCTCACTTCCACCACGCCGAACTCACCATCCGCGAAACCCTCTACGCAAACCCCCTCCAAACCATCCCCACGACGACCAGTCCCCCAGCCTCTACAATAACTACACACTCACCCCCAACAACAACCATACCACCAAACTACTATGTACGAGCAGGACCACAGGCACGAGTCGTGGTTCCAGGAATGGGACGTCATGGCCGAATCAGCGCAGATTGAAGCAGCTGACGAAGAAGCGGGTGCGTCGCTCTAGTAGTAATAGTCAACCCATAATAGGTGTCGACCCTGAACACCTCATTTTCGCCACTTTTTGACAGAAATTTGATTTCTTGGTTCGTGA